TGGGGAGGGAAGAGACTGGACGACTTCGATTTTACTGTTTGTATTGTGGGCTGGTCTTATGTTTTATGTGTTCATTCTCGCTCCAAATCAGACTCCGGTAATTACTTGATTGCCTTCTTCTTGTCTGTATGTTTGCTGTAATGCATATGCATCAAATGCTTATATGTTTGCCTGAATATTTGCAGTCAACGGACTTGTATTTCTTGAAGAAGCTTCTGAACTTGAAAAATGACGATGGTTTCAAAATGAATGAAGTGCTTGTCTCTCTTTGGTATATTATGGGGTTGTGGCCCCTTATCTACAGCATGCTGCTGCTTCCTTCTGGTAGAAGGTACCTTCATCTTCTTCCCCCAAATTTGGAATTCATTCATTCTGAGAATGTTTGAGCTACTGAGTTGATTGAACGCTTAAGCCTTTTATTTCCATGTCCAGCTTTTGGAGTTGATAATGAGTATCATAGATTGTAGTTGGGTAGCCTACATGTTAAGTGATTCAAGCTTTTTTCTCCAATGGAGTCTCCAATGGAGTGTTTGAGATTATTAGCAAATCTTACATGTCATCTATCTCAGGAGAGTAGAACGAAACATTCCTTACAAAGGTGTGGAAACTTCTCCCTAGTAGACGCGTTTTAAAACCTTGAGGGGAAGCCCTTGAAGGGAAAATCGAAAGAGGACAATATCTGCTAGCGGTTGGTTTGTGTTGTTACAAATGGTATTAGAGCTCGACACCGGACGGTGTGCCAGCGAGGATGCTGGGTGTCACGGTCCTATATTCTTGACCGTGCGGCGTCGTGATCTATACACGCTCACGACTAGCCTTAAGGGGAATTAAGCCCCATATATATTTTTCGCCCCGGCTTTGTGGCTTCGTCGAACCTTAGGCGAGGTTTGTCTTCGCCAATCGAACATCGCTTGTGCGGAATCCAAGCTTGTCCAACCACACACACCGCCTGTGCGTGTATGTTCAATCGTCTGCGACACATCCGACTTGCCTCTACGCTAGGCCAACTCATTCGGGCCAAGGTCTCTCAATACAACGTCGCATCTCGTCTTGCCATCTCGATCCCCATCGACGGGGTCCATATGTCTTGACGCCATCCCAAGTCTCGGGATGTCGTCGGCCATCGTAACTCGTTCGGTCATGCCATCGAGAATGGGCCCGCGTGTCGTTCATCTCATCGGGACTTTCCGAACATCCATCCATCCGGGTTCTATCGAGGCATAGGCCCTCCCGTGCCCATGCCGAGTCATTTATGGATATCGTACCGGATAGCGGGTGTATGTAGCAACCTCCAACACGCGGGCTAGGGCGCAATACCGGCACACCTGTGCCGTCCGGTACTGTCCTTCAAAAACCCATTTCAAAGGAAGTCGCCCCGAGACACTCGTCTCGGCACGCTCGCCCACACTGTGACACACATATGTGCCACAGGGTAGCTTACTTAGGCCACAGGGTAGCTTACTTAGGCCACAGGGCCCAGGGGTGGTGGAGAGCTAACACCATGGTACCCCTATAGTACATTTTGAGCCATTTTCATTCTATTAGGAGTAGACATGATTTTCGTGAGGTGTCATACGGTGTCGTGCATTGTCCGTCCAATGTCCGATTGACACCAAACTTGGCGAGCATTCATATTTCATATGGACGGACTTAACTCCCGAACCGCATGACCAAATTCCTTCTGAAACCTCGACTTTTGAGGTTAAGGCCCGGGGCCCTACCCGGCCCTTCAACAAGCCTATCTTGTCCTTCATGTCTATGCTGATGTCTCTGTTATGCTTGTGTCTCAATATGTCTTCAATGCCCACTTTGCGTGGTGGTGTGTTGGATGATGCATCGTCCTCCTCGATCGCATCATGGCATTCTTCTACGTTGGCCCGCATATGGCCGGATGGGCGTCTCTTGAGGGACGCCCCTTTTCTTGTCATGGCGTGAGGGTCACAACCTACTCTCTTCATAGTAAGGTTGTGACACTGGGCTCTTGTGAGATCCCACATTGGTTGGAGAGGGGAACGAAGCATTCCTTATAAGGGTGTGCAAACCTCTCCCTAGTAGATGCGTTTTAAAATCTTGAGGGGAAGCCCTTAAATGGAAAACCCAAAGAGGACAATATCTGCTAATGGTGCTAACGGTGCGTATGGGCTGTTACATCATCGGCCTCGATGCAGTGTGTGGTTAGCTTTAATCTGATGGTTACATGTAGCTTAAATAGATTTTAGACTTCCAGTTCAATTCAAATTGCATCAGAGTGACATAATTTCTTGCAAGTGCAGTTCAAACAGCAATGTTCCTGTCTGGCCTTTCCTAGGACTGTCTTTCTTTTTGGGTGCTTATGGTCTTCTTCCATATTTTGTACTTTGGAAGCCGCCGCCGCCCCCCGTTGAGGAAGATGAGCTCGAGAGATGGCCTTTGAATTTTCTCGAGTCGAAATTTACTGCTGGGGTATGGTAAATTCTTCCCCTTACCATGAATGTATCTGGAAGAAGATTGTGATGGTGCTCTCTTTATCTTTACCGTTGGCATAGCCAAATATTATTTTCAGAACCATCTCATGTTGAAACTAGTTTTGAAGAAACGTTGAAGACAGTAGCATAGCCACTATCTTTTCTGAAATCTGACCCTTTCTTCGCAATAAAAGTATCATCACGTAAGATCCCACATCGATTGGAGAGGGGAACGAAACATTTCTTATAATGGTGTGGAAACCTCTCCCTAATGAACGCATTTTAAAATCTTGAGGGGAATCCCAGAAGGGAAAGCTCAAAGAAGACAATATCTGCTAGTGGTAGGCTTGAGTTGGTACAAATGGTATTAGGGCTAGACACCGGATGGTGTGCCAACGAGGACGTTGGGTTCTCAAGGGGTAGATTGTGAGATCCCACGTCGGTTGGAGAGGAGAACGAAACATTTCTTATAAGAGTGTGGAAACCTCTTTCCAACGGTCTCAAGGGGGGTAGATTGTGAGATACCACGTCGGTTAGAGAGGGGGAACGAAACATTTCTTATAAGAGTATGGAAACCTCTCCCCAATGAACGCATTTTAAAACCTTGAGGGGAAGTTCAGAAGGGAAAGCCCAAAGAGGACAATATTTGCTAGCGGTGGGCTTGGGCTGGTACAAATGTTATTAGAGCCAGACATTGGGGATTGTGCCAACAAGGACGCTGGGCTCTCAAAGGGGGTGGATTGTGATATCCCACATTGGTTGGAGAGGAAAACGAAACATTCCTCATAAGGGTGTGGAAACCTCTCCCTAATAGACGCGTTTTAGAATTTTGAGAAGAAGCTCGGAAGGGAAAGTCCAAAGAGAACAATATCTGCTAGCGGTGGGCTTGAGCACACATCACTATTTTGCCCCAACCGTTCGATTAAAAATGAAAATTAACCAGGTTGGAATCAGATAACATTTGCTGCAGGACTAGGCTTATTATTCTATGCTGGATTAGCTGGTGAGAGTGCGTGGAAGGAATTCTATCAGTACTTCAGAGAAAGCAGATTTGTAAGTCTAGCAGTTTGTTTTTGGCATACTGTTATAGTTTTTTGCACCATGTCTTCATGTCTGTGGTGGGTACTCGCTATCTCGCGCTACCTATCGATTGTGTCGTTAAAACGCTTGATTTGTAGACTAGTTGAAGAACATTTTCTTGCTGCTGCTACTCCTGGAATCTGATTGATGATCAATAGTTTTGGTGTTTAGATATTTATATGAACTTTCTATCATTGCAACGTCATATAGCCTAACCTCGATCCCGAAACGTTGTTGATGCAGATCCATGCTACGAGCATTGATTTCATGCTGTTATCTTCATTTGCTCCATTTTGGGTTTACAATGACATGTCTGCTCGAAAATGGTTCGATTACCATCTTGTTCTAATCCTTCTTCCTTATTCAATTCTATGTTAGCCTTTTGGACATTAATGTTTCATATCATTGCAATGAACTCATTTCAGGTATGACCAAGGTTCTTGGCTTCTTCCATTTTCGTTGGTGCCGTTCTTGGGTCCTGCCTTGTATCTCGTCCTACGACCAATGCCAACGACGACTCCCGTTCCACTCGACCGTGCTGCTTCTGAACCGAAATGATCTTGGAAAAGTGAACTGCAAAAAGGAAACTTGGCTGTAATGGTGGAAAGTAGCTTCCAGGTAAAGGGAGAAGTTTTGTACTTCACACACGGTAGATTAGGAAACAGGGACGTGAAATGATTTGTGTTGTTATGTTATTATGTTTATGGCACAATATATTATTCTTCCAAGAGGGTTGATGTTGGCCATTCCATCCATATATTGTTCGGTTTGGCTTGCTACGTATCGCTGTCAGCCTCACGGTTTTAAAACACGTTTGCTAGAGAGAGGTTTCCACACCCTTATAAGAAATGTTTCGTTCCTCTTTCTAACCGACATGGGATCTCACAATCCACTCCCTTGAGGGCCAACGTCCTCGCTAGCGCAATGCCCACTGTCTAACACTGATACCATTTGCAACAGCCTAAACCCATTGCTAATAGATATTTTCTCCTTCAGTTTGGTATCGCTGTTATTCTCATGGTTTTAAAACACGTATGCTAGGGAGGAGTTTCTACACACTTATAATAATACTTCGCTCCCCTCTTCAACTGATGGGAGATCTCACAATCCACCCCCTCAAGGGCCTAGCATTCTCGTTGGCACACTGTTCGGTGTCTAGCTTTGATACCATTTGTAATAGTCCAAGTCTACTATTAATAGATATTGTCAGTTTTGGTTTCTTGTCATCAGCCTCATAATTAAAAACCATTAATTTTAGAACACCTCATCTACTTAATTAATATTATTATACTCGAAACAGTTCGAACATCTGAATTCTCAATATACGTCTATACTGGTTGTGTAGGAATCCTTGGTCACTCCTCAAGTAATATTTTAATCAATAAAATAAAATAAATTCGTAAGTTAATATTCTTATTATAAGAATTTGGTATTTCATATCCCAAAAAAAGATGTTAATAAATATAATAGGGGAGAGACAGAGTGAACGGGAGAGAGTTTCAGAGAGAGTGTGGCGTCGGAAGAGGATGAAGCAAGAGGGGAGAGAAGAACAGGAAGATGAGATCGTGTTCGACAGAGACTCAGAGACTTCGAATCATAAAAAGCAGATTTTGATCTTTCAGCTTTCTCAAAGGCTAATCCATGGCGACCTTCTCTCCCGAATCGAAGCTGCCAAAGATTTGAGGAAGCTCGCCCGTAAGTCTTCCCCCAAGTCCCGCTCCAACCTCGGCGCTTCCAGTCTGATTCAACCCCTTGTTTGCATGCTTCTCTCTCCCAATCTTGATGCCCGTGAAGCCTCTCTTCTTGCCCTCCTCAATCTCGCTTCCCGCAATGAACGGTTTGTCCATCTCCTTCCATTTCTTCTCGCGCTAGTGTTTGATTTACATGCCCGTAGTTGTTCTAATTTACTCATGATTTCGAGCTGCCTGGTTGTTAATCTCTGTTTTTTTTTCCCTTGGTTTTGTTTTGCTATTTCAAAATCCTTTCACTCGACTGTTCGTTCATGACCTTTTGTAGAAATCCCTTTAGTTGTATAAAATCAAGGCCTCACAGCACAAACCTGATTTATACTCTGATACTGAACTTCTCGTCTTTTCTATTTCCCCTTTAATTTCTTGCCCAGGAAATTTTGATATAGATGCAGTAAGCAGCAGCGAGCTTGGTTTTGATTTTAGAATGCCGTTCTTGACGCCTTAGTTTTGTATTCAGGATTTACTAGTCCAGTTGGAAGGATGAGTAGAAGGATGAGTAGACTCTATTGAAGATTGTTGGGAGAGGAGTCCCACATTGATTGATCAATCAAGGAGTTGATCATGAGTTTATAAGTAAGGAATACATCTCCATTGGTATGAGACCTTTTGGGGAAACCAAAAGCAAAGTCATGAGAGCTAATGCTCAAAGTGGATAATATCATACCATTGTGGAGGTTTGTTATTCCTAACATGATATCAGAGCCATGCCCTTAATTTAGCCATATCAATAGAGTTCTCAAATGTCGAACAAAGGGACTCAAGTGTCAAACAAAGGGTGTACTTTGTTCGAGGGTCCAGAGAAGGAGTCGAACCTCAATTAAGGGGAGACTGTTCGAGGGCTCCATAGGCCTTAGGAGAGGCTCTGTAGTGTACTTTGTTCGAGGGGAGGGGTGTTGAAGATTGTTGGGAGAGGAGTCCCACATCAACTAATTAAGGGATTGATCATGAGTTTATAAGTAAGGAATACATCTCCATTGGTATGAGGCTTTTTGGGAAAACCAAAAGCAAAGCCATGAGAGCTAATGCTCAAAGTGAATAATATCATACCATTGTGGAGATTCGTGATTCCTAACCGACTGTTCACTCGCTTGTTAAACTTATTCCTAGGGCGATGAAAGTTATGAACGTTGTTGTTTTGTAGTTGGGATCAAACTATCAACATTAAGAATGATAATGGGTATTTTATCCTCTGAGCTATACCCGGATTTTCGTTAGGATGTGCATGTTTAGACTTAAGTTTTGGTTTACTTAGATTTTAATTGCTACATTTTGTAGATTTGGTCAAACAAATTTCGTCAAGACTTTTGTTCTCTCTCATGTAACTTTGTGTTATTTGAAGGAAGAACCATTTGGGGGCTATGGCTTCTAAACTAATCATAAGAACTCTTGCCTAACATGCTAATTGAATAGGCAGTTCTATGAGCTATAGCTCATAAGCTGATTCTCTTCTTAGCTTCAGTTTTATGTCTCATACAGCTGAATCTACCACATTGTTTCACATCATTCCTATTATTTCTTTACTATCAGGAACAAGATAAAAATAGTTGCAGCTGGTGCTATTCCCCCGCTTCTAGAGCTGCTGAAATTCCAAAACCTTAGTTTGAGGGAACTAGCCACTGCAGCAATCCTGACCTTGTCGGCTGCTGCTTCGAATAAACCGGTCATCTTGTCAGCTGGTGCAACATCTCTTCTGGTTCAGATTCTCATTTCTGGAAGTGTTCAAGCTAAAGTTGATGCAGTGACAGCTCTATACTACTTATCTGCCTGCACTGAAAACGAGAATTGCCCAATGATGCTTGATCCAGGAGCAGTTGCCCCTCTAATTGATCTCCTCAAAGAATGCAAGAAGCATTCGAAGTTTGCCGAAAAAACTACATCCCTCCTTCAGATCATTTCGAACTCAGATGAAGGGCGAACTGCAATCTCCAATTCAGATGGCGGAATACTAACTTTAGTACAGACAGTTGAAGATGGATCTCTTGTGAGCACAGAGAATGCAGTGGGAGTTTTGCTTTCCATGTGCCAGAGTTGCCGTGAGACATACCGCGAACCCATCTTGAAAGAAGGTGCAATCCCTGGCCTTTTGAGACTCACAGTAGAGGGCACAGCTGAAGCACAAGATAGAGCTCGCAGGCTTCTGGATTTGCTTAGAGATTCTCCTCAGGAAAAGAGAATGAGCTCAACAGATCTGGAGAGAATTGCCTACAAAATCGCTGCTGAAGTTGACGGCGTAGGACAAGCAGCCGAAACTGCCAAAAGATTAATGCAGGAAATGGTTCAGAGGAGATTAAACACTGCATAAACCGCTCACTCGCTCCGTTTTGTACATTTTCTTTGATGTCTTCTTGACATTCCACTCACTTCTTCTTCTTCTTCTTCTTCCAGGAGGTACAAGTCTTGGGAGATGGCTTGAAATTTCACTTCTAAATATTAGGATCTGGTTTGGCCATTCTCTGCTACTTGGATTTTCACTGAAGGAAGTAGCAACTCCCATTGCTGATGAGGTTAGAAACATTATTAGTTGATTGTATATTTTGACTCTGATCTTCTTCGTACATAAAGATTATCATTTTGTACATGAACATCTCTTCTGATATCATTTTCTTAGGCTCTGGGAACTGTTGAGTTAAATTCTGATCAGCCTTTTCAATTTCAGCTTCCCAGGTTTGTTCCACATGCCTAGAGTATGCAATCTTTAATAATATAGGGCTATTGACCATTCTAAGTAAAGCCTTGTGGGCTAAATATTCAAACCTTTTGTTGATTGTAGGCTATGATTTATGAAATTACCAACAGTTTTAGTTTTAGTCTCGATCTTCATAAGTTTGAAGTTATCCACACTCTATAAATTAACTCAACCATGAGAACAAGCTTCCTCCCATTCAGACAAATGGTAAGAATTTTGGGGTACTTGGGGAACCATGTAAGGAGCTTCCTCTCTAATATTTTTGAAGTAAACCCAGTTTTCAGAGTCGATTTCTTTATGCTTACCTTCAAGCCATTTGCACTTTGGGAACATTTCTTGGATGTTTTTTTGGTCGAACCCTTTATTTCGGAAGAATCGTAGGTTATGTTAGGATGGTTAGGAGAAGAGTCACACGTTGGCTAACTAAGAGGAAGATCATGTGTTTATAAGTAAAGACGAAGTCAAGAGAGTTTATTTTCAAAGTGGATAGAATCATATCATTGTTGAGAGTCGTGGTTCCTAACATGGTATCTGAGTCATGTTTTTTAACTTAGACATGTGAATAGAATCCTGAAATGTTGAACAATGAGTGTACTTTGTTACCCTTTGTTCGAAGGTTAACAATATCATACCATTAGGCCTAATAGAGTATTGTCCAATTACAAGACAAAAAACAAAACACACATAATCGATAAGAGAAAGCTCGACTCATACCTTCTCTCAACTTTCAACAATAAAAGACGGGAAAAAAAAAATCTTATTAGTCTTACTAGTCCAACTTATAGAACGATAAGTTCACGAGCTTCAAAAACGAAATAAGATTCTCATCTTTGAATTCAACTCGAAAGTAAAAAATAACCCATATATTTTTTGGTACATCATAATCACGACAGTTATGACGGTGACAATTATAATGTTTCATAAATGTGATATAAAAAATAATTTATGAATGTGGATAAGACACTTATCGCTATCATTGAATATCAATTATTAAACTCAAAATATAAAATTATAATGAAATTTCTCATTTAACAACGGTATATGAAGATGCATAATTTTTTGCACTATTATTCCGTTCTTCTAAAACTAGATTTGGTTGAACGGAATAACCCGACCTATTATAAATATAAAAAATAAAAAATTTAGACAGCTACTCATTTAAAAGAATTTTTCTTTAATGTTTTTTTAAATAAAATGAAAAAAATGTAGAGGTATTTTTTTTGGGCCGGAAGAAAACGTCTGAGCCTGAAAATAAATTGAAGGCATGGGAAGCTTTTCTGGTTCCTGTAAGCAATCGCCGCCGGCCGCCCATCGTCTCCCCGCCGGAATCATCGCTCGACGTGAAGAGAAGTTGAACAATTCGAAAGTCGATGAACAGAAGAACAATATATAATACATCCTTCTTCTTCAATCGCGAAGAACCTCCACTTGAAAGTGAAAGGATTTGGCCCACGCCTTCCCCCAAAAGTCAGACTCCACAGACCTTCACCTCCAATAATTTAATGGCGGAATCGACGACTTAATCTTCCTCTTCACTCCTTCAATCTCTTATAAACTCTGCTCTCTCCTTCAATCTCCTTCAATCACAGCACCGCCATGTTAGGTTTAATTTTTCTCAATTCGCGTATTGGACTCGCCATCATTTTCTTCAACACTTTCGTATGGATCCCGTTGTTTCGTGTCAAGGAAGCGATTCTCGGTGTCGCTAGTGTTTTCCGCCTCGTATCCTTACCAGAAATGGACAGCTCCCGCGGCGGAACTCTGCTGGTGAGAAGATACGAAGAGTTGCAGAGGAGCGATGATCGAGCGGAAGAGGAGGAGATGTGCTCCATCTGTTTGACGGAATTCGCGAGAGAAGATTCCGTGTGCAAATTGCCGGACTGTGCGCACGTTTTTCACTTCGATTGCATCGAGAAATGGCATGAGAGGAATCGCTTCACTTGTCCTCTCTGTAGATGCTTCTTCAACATCGAGAAACACCATGAGAAGAAGCTCCGCTTCGTTGTTCCAGATAATCCTTCCTCCCTTTATTATTTCTTGCAGTGATTTCTTCTTTTCTTTTCGTTTTTCCATATCGATTGTTCTACTGTATATTGATTTCGGATTTGGAAATTGCTGTAGAATTTCCAGTTCTTTTGTGTAAAAATCTTTGTTCTCTGAACTTCGGAACGGATTTCTCTGTAAATGCAACGATTTCCTTTCCGGGAAGGTTAACCAGAAAATCAAGGAACGGTTCTTCCTGGGATTGAAATTATTTGGAAATTCTTCTGGAACTCTTGTTCATTAATAATCAGTATCATCTATGCTAATATTTTTTCATTTTTTGGAGTACGATTTATAAATATGAAATTTACAAAATGATTGGATTGAATGATGAACGAGGATAAAAACAATTAAGGGGAAGATACTTAATCTATGAGTTTTTAGTATAGTTTCAAAATAACACTTTTTTCGGTGGACTTTCGGATAATTCTTTCATGTAGCTTGAAAAGGAAATACATCTTTAGTATCGTCAAATGAATGTATTTGTAGGAAAGTCTCGTAGTGGCTGATCCCCAAAAAATGGAAAAAGATTGAAAATCGCCAACAATTGGTCGAACAGGAAGAATAGGAAAGAAAAGAGTTTTTTCCATAGTGAAACACAACATTGGATAAGGGACGTCTTTGTTCATTCATCGGCATTACCAACCAATCTAGACTCTTGAAACACAACATTGGATCCGAGACGTCTTTGTTCATTCATCGGCATTACCGACCAATCTAGGCTCTTCGAGAGTAAATAATAGGATAGACTATAGCCTTTACTTTCTATTGTTTTAGTCGGTACAGTGAATAAGAAAGAATCAGCTATTTGAAAAACCTTACTCGGGTAAGAGTAAACGAGTTTTTTAAAGCCTATAGACATAAGATTCTCGACAAGAAAGGAGCGAGACCTTGTTTACAATTCAATTAGGTTCGAAATTTAACTCAAATTTGGGAACCGAACTCATTTTCTCTTTAGATTAATGCATAGATGATCTAACCCGACGCTCTTATAATATTATTAAGACTTTTTCTTTATAAAAAAAAAATTATTGAGACTTAATTATATAATTTGTTTCAAATGTCAATGCATGAACTCAATTTCTCAAACCCTAATAAAAGCCATCGCCCTCTAATTTGACCAATTCAAGTGGATATTCAAATGTTGGTAATTTTATGATTAATTATTTGTTCATTGGATTAGTTTAGTTGCAAAATATAATTAAATATACCAATGAACCGAGAGATTATAAATTAATTATGAGTCTAAATTATAATTTATTAAAGTAATTGAAACTATATTTTTCAACCCTTATATTTATTTTCTCCCTCTCCAAATATTTTAAGAAGCAAATATATTAAATTTCTTGTGAAAAAAGCAACCTTTTTAGAGATACTTTAGTTGTCAGCAGAAAATGACTTCCTTTTCATTGTGATTCCTATAAGAATTTGACAGCAAATCCAATATGTTCAGACATCTTCTGTTCATAATGTTCATTCTTGAACAGCAACCTTCAAAGAAATGACATTTGATTCAGATGGTTAAAACAAGACAAGAGGAAGAAGTTTAGAAGTTCAAAAGAATATTGAAACGGTTTAAGCTCGATGCTAATAGATATTATCCTCTTTAAACTTTCTCTTTCGAGCTTTCCCTCAAAATAGGGAGACGTTTCCACATCCTTATAAAGAATGTTTCGTTCTCCTCTCTAATCGATATGAGATCTCACAATCCATTTTAAAAATCTTGAGCGGAAGCCCGAAAGGAAATGTCCAGAGAAACAATATCTGCTAGCGGTGGGCTTGAACTATTACAAACATATTTTGTTCAACAATCAAATGATGCCATCATGTGACATGACGACAGTGGTTTTGTCTTGATGAACTTTGCCCATTCAGATCAGATCATATTTTGACAAGAACATAGAGATGTAAGCTAATTTATTGCTGAAAACTTTATAGACAGTCATTACAAACATAGACTTGAATGTAGAAGGATTATGACCTGAAATAAAAATCACCTGTTGGATACCCGGCGACGTCGAAACTTTAATCACAATGAAGGTAGCCTCACACTAACAAACAGCAATTATCGGGGTGGCCATGTATGCCGGTAACGAACCGAGACTTATTAACAGGTAACAGGTAAGAGATAACCATTGTACAGCGTGTTCAAGTTTTTACTCTGGTGAGGACCTTCAGAAGAAATCCATATCCACTGAGCTAAGCACCCCATCATCTTCCCAGTTTACGTTCTTGTCTCTTTCACCTTTCCCAGTAAGATGAAGTGGCGATTCTAATGGTGGCGGGACCTTCATACCAAAAGAAACGAGCAGATTTTAAGAACATCTCTGTTAATGGCTGATAAAGAGTTAAACATGGTTATGTTCTTTGAAAGATCTTTGACAGCCAAGTTCGGTTCGAGTTTTTTTAATTGTTCATAGATGTTCCTGACAAGCAATATAGGTTTCAAAAGACGAGAACATCCGTACCGCACACCGGATCAGCGGCCAGTTGATTGATTGGAAGAAGGGGTGCTGTTTGATTTCATTTGCACCTGTACTCGATCCCAAACGTCTCGTGGGGTCTCTTTGAAGCAATGCATTGATCAACTGCCTTGCTGCAAGACTTACCTGGACGAGTATGCAAATCAGAAGTATGTTTTTGGAGAAGCATGGAATTGGAAAGCACCAGTTATAGTAAAAAAACCTCAAGTTTAATGCATTCTACAGGGACCCATGAACTTCCCCCTCCATAATTCTAACAAGACGATCAATATGCTCTTGTGTTGTTTGTGAAAGAAAAATGATACTTGAGGAGGCCTAGAAAATGCTCGCCCACTAGCGAATGGATGTTAAATGGCTACCTATGACAGGTTTCAAGACCAATAACTTGTTATGTGTTGGCTGAGCCACAGACATTGTTTGACCAATTAGCAAATGCTAGTTAGACTACCGTGTACACCAATATTCTTGTTGTTGTTCGAAGTCTCTTCTGTTGCAAGTTTATAAACCCTATACAAAGTAACTTCACTTGCTAGTTTAAAATAATTCTGCTTTTCCAATCCAATCCAAGCCCACCACCGGTAGTTAGTGTCTTTTTTGGGCTTTCCCTTCTGAGCTTCCCCTCAAGGATTTAAAATGCGTCTACTTGGGAGAGGTTTCCACACTCTTATAAGGAATATTTTGTTCTCCTCTCCAACCGATGTGGGATCTCACAATCTACCCCCTTTAGACGCCCAGCGTCCTCGCTGGCACACCGCTCGATATCTGACTCTATACCATTTGTAACAGCCCAAGCCTACCGCTAGTAGATATTGTCCTCTATGGACTTTTCCTTCTGGACTTCTCCTCAAGGTTTTAAAGCGCGTCTACTAGAGAGAGGTTTACACACCCTTATAAGGAATGCTTTGTTCTCCTCTCCAACTGATGTGAGATCTCACATAAAATTTAAAAACGATCATGGTTTTCCTATCACATGAACACGGAATAAAAACGGATCTTTTTTTAAGCCAAATATGAGTCTTACAATGATCTTTACAACCTTATGTATAGTGATATCACATCTATATCTAGCTTGAAATTGTAGCTTATGATATGTCACCGTGCTAATTTTACGAAGAGAAGATGGTTAAAACCCCCCAAAATAGAACAAATCTCAAGCCTTGAGATTTTTTTTTTATTTTTTTTTTATAACTAAAGTTGATAACATTTGAAGTCTTGTGGCGTTTATAAACTCGTCATAACATAAGTACTATGATATTAAAAAAAGAAGCAGGGTACCAAGCAACATCTCAGTGCAATTTCTTATTTTACCTGAATGCTACTGGGAAAGGTGAGATCTTTGTGCAAGATGTTACCAAAAGTCTTCTGCCTGTTCTTTCCCCTGAAAGGCGTGCGACCATAAAGCATCTCATACAACAATATACCTGAATCCCAAACACAACCATTCTCAAGTCTTGAATTGGAAAAGCATCATAAAAGAATGATAGTAAAAGAAGCAGAGGTGAATGCTTAGCCAACAAAAACAGATACGTAGAATAAATAATATGATGATATAAATATGGGAACGGGTAGTCGACTAACAAGAACATAGTTTCGGAATATACGTAGGATCGAGTCATTACAGTGCCATGATTTTGCTTATGGAGAAAACTAGGAACGGGAAGTGCTAAGAGGAAAAGGAAAATAGTCTAAAAGTGCACCATGGTCTTACCAAGAGCCCACCAATCGATAGAGCTGCTGTGACCTTCCCCTGTTATAATTTCCTGCAATTGATGCACCAATAAGGGACTTGAGAAGGACTAAATCGATGAAATCATCATCATCATCTTATATGTTTTCTTAGTATGAAGTAGGTGAATGCATAACTGGGGATTCACCATACAGGAGCAATATACTCTTCAGTTCCAACGAAAGAATTTGATTGCGTGATTGGCTCTGCAACAAATACTGGCGGTGGTTGACTTCGGGATCTCCTTCTACCGTGATGCAATGGATACTTCACAATCTATGATTCGGTGAGTATAATTAGAATTAGTATCATCCACACGAAGTAGACGGGATCTTATTACTGTCATTAGAATGGAAGTTTACTGGAGTGTCAATCATATAACTAGAAAATGAGTATATCAACACGCAAAATGCATGAGATAGTAAACGAACGAACAGGTACTTGATCAGGAGGAGAAGCATTCTAGGATGAAAGAGCAGCTCATGGACCGGAATCCACGAGCTCAGAATTAGTTTTTTTAACCTCCATGTCAGGGGACTATGCACTTCTCTTGTTACACTTTTATTTAATAAGATATCTTCCATGATGCATGGCTTGGGGCTTGTTTCATATAATTAACACCATTTCAGAACTTCAATAATATGAAAAGCTTGAATATGGGTCAATAAGAAGTGCTCTTTAAACGATAGAATATGAAATTGGAAGTCACCTGCGGTTTGCAGGATGTCACAAGTGATAAATCGAAGTCAGCAAGTGTAACATGCCCATCCTTCTGGAGAAGAATATTTTCAGGCTTCAGGTCTCGATAAATGATTCCTGCATAAGATCATGAAAAATAAAAATCCAACATAAGGAACTCGAACGGTTTTCTCTAATGAACAATGCAGTTTATCTTGTCATACAGTACACCTTCCATACTATTGAGTATTGAGATTAACTAATACTCAGTTACAGTAAATCTATGTTTTAAATCCGTTGTGTAACATGGGGATTATTTCGAAGCCCGTTACCAAAATTATTTGGAGTTCAAAATTACCCAAAATGGTAAACACAAG